GGCTCAGGGATCCACCTGTCTCTGCCTCCCGAGTGCTGGGATTAAAGGTGTGTGCCACCACACCCAGCTAATTTTATGTCTTACAGGGTTTATACTGAGTACAATATTGTATAACTGTATTCATTCAACTGTAAACCTAAAAATTTACAGCCAATTTTGAAAGAGATGCATCTTAGCTCTGGAAATTGTTATTGAATATGTCAATGCTGTTGTAATGAAATATTTTTTCTAATTATGTGGTTATTAAATAAATAATCAAAAAAAGAGAAAAAAAGATCATAATAGCTAAATCACCGTGTTGGGGGACCCTGCTGCTAAAGTTGCAGTCTACCATGTCTGCATAGCTTAGGGAGCTTGGTGCTATATGGAGGACTCTTTCTCAGTGGGGGCTTCCTGCCTGACCTTATCTGGAAAGTGCCTCCAAGCACAGATGCCTGGCCTTATTGCAAACATGACCTTTGGCATAGTTACCTGCAAAAAAACTGCCCCCATGTTTTTTATATATGGTAGATAGGCATTGCCCTATAGCCAGATGATGGGATCCCCCTACCACATGTAAATAAAGCATACTATGAACACCTATCAGCTGAAGATTTGGCTGCCGCCTCCACCCTATATTTTTCCCCGACCCCCACTGAATAAATGAGTTATATCACTAAAAGAAAAAAAAGAAAAATAAAGAAAGCTCCAAGTAAGAAAAGCACGTGTCCTTATCACAATTCATCTCCTCTAAAGTTACCATGCAAAGCAACGAAAGTAGCACTTACAGAAAATGACATTTCCCTAAATGGAATTTCTGTGACAGTCATTGAATGAAATCTGAAATGTCAGAAAATTTTTGAGATAGTTTTTACAAGGCTTTGGTAAGAGCAGCTCCACAGGGAGGACATGTATCTGGAAGGGTGAGTAAGGGAGAGTGCTAGGCTCTGTGCCGTGCTAACCTCTGTGCCGTGCTAACCTCTGTGTCGTGCTAAGCTCTGTGCTGTGCTAACCTCTGCCTTGTGCCATCGTTCGTACAGGGCTGTGCGGTTCCTATAACAACAAGGCAGAAGACGATTTCCTGTCAAGTCAGAATATACTGGAGACAACGGCTCAGGCGTTTGCCAGTTCCTGGGAAATGATGTCCTGTCCTAAAGGAAGCCCCTCTTCATGTGTCAGCATTGAAACAGGTAATGGTGGCAAGAATCAAACTCTCTAGTTAAACATGTGGAACTAGGAATTATGGACTTATGTTTATAGTACAATATGCATGTCAGATAACCCTGGCTCTAGATAGTACTTGTTGTGCTGGCCCAAAGGTAGAAGAAATAGAGAATAATCCTTGCAACTGAGTATATGCCTAGCAAACCCATCTTTCATTTGGAACTCGTTTCTGTGGTCTCACTGTGTCTTTTCTCTTTCTAACACTATTGAAGAATAATATGGTTAGAGGAGGTTTTTAGGAATTATTCACTTTTATTCATTTTCTTTACTTTAGTTTAATGACAAAAGTGGCCATTGGTTTTCAGTCATACACACCCAAACTGCTCACCTCCATGGTTAACAATAGCAAGCCTGGCACAGCTCTCACTGCAACCCCACGATGCATGACTCAACCCACCAAAGACGTCCATTAGCACTAGCTCAATTTCTTCCCATAAAAGCTCATGAAGGATACATTATCTACATCTATATTAATGTAGATAATGGGCCCCCAAGGCCTTACTTACTAGGGACCACAATGAAGTTGCAACCCAAACATTTGAAAACCAAGTGACATTTGGGTCATTCCCATGATGCTGTTAATTTTCAAGAATGCTTCATGTTGCTTTCTTCATAAATAAGGAATGCATTGGAAGCTAGCTTAAAGCTTATTAATGTGCCAATTGGTTATTTCTAAATGATTCTAGGAATTTGAAGCAAGTAGTCTGATCAACTTATATTATTTTAAAATTACTAAAATAGTTCCAATATTGCCTAATAATTTTGAAATGAAAATTCAGTTGGTAGAAGTATTGATATAAACATGCTAATCCATATTCCGGAAGTTTTACTTATTGCATTATTATGTTTGGGGGTTATTGCAGTGAAAACAATTATGATAATACACAAAAGACTGTATGTCTCATAAGAAACCAAGAAAATTTATGTCAAGCAGAAAGAATGCCAGCACTTTCCAGTAGTATATAAATTAAATAAACGGTTGGTGTTTTATATTTGAATTAGTAACATACAGGAGATGAACTCTAAGAATATATTATTAACAGTAATAATTTCATAAAAAGTACTGTGATTGTTGCTGGTGTTTCAGAATATTAGAAATAATTGATTTCAGTGTCTCTGATAGACGAAGCTTCCTTTATGCTGAAAATTATTAAGGAAAGTGTCTTCAACCACCTGTCATTTTTATGAATCTTCTTTTTTGAACTTAGTATTAGGCTAGTTATTTACAAATAAATGTCAATTAAGCACTTTTCAAAAAAACAAATTGAGTATATTTGGTCGATTGATCCTAACAGTGACCTTCAGAAAGCCTGGCCTGACATTTGGTGTGAAGGGAAGCCAATGTGTTGATGGCTGGTTCACTCACCACAATCAGCCATTCCTGTGAATATATAGTCAAGAGACAATCTGAAATGTGACCCCCTTATTCCCATTTTTATATAGAAAGTGCATTTCAGCAGAAAGTTAAATGAATCAATGGTAAAACTAGTAAAGATTTTACTTTGCAGTGTTTCTATGCTGTTTATTGTGCTGTTTTTAAATATAGTGACAGCAAATTAGATTCATTATAGAGACCACTTTAACAACAAAACTGTGTTTATAAAGACAGAACTTGGTGAAATATGCAGCTATTCTTTCAAATGGAGAAATTATGATATTATTGAGGCTAATTCTGGATGAATTAACTTTTTTCAGAAAAGTTTGCTGAAAGCAGCTGTGGGGTTCTTCTTGATTCAGGAGGGCCTTTTGCTTCCTGCCATCAGATTGTGAACCCCAAATTCTATCATGAGGTACGTGAGGGTCTAGCACTAAGAGCCTTTTTCTTAGAAATGCTTTTCTGATTTTGACAAAAGCCTGCCAATCTTAAACATGTTAAAATAAGTGTTATTGCCAATAAATTGAAGTTATGATTAACATTAAAGTCTAATAATTTATTCAATTTCTTAGAAATGCTTTTCTGATTTTGACAAAAGCCTGCCAATCTTAAACATGTTAAAATAAGTGTTATTGCCAATAAATTGAAGTTATGATTAACATTAGAGTCTAATAATTTATTCAAGTATTAGATATACTAACTTCAAAATAGTAATACTAAAACTAATCCCACTACTTGAATATGTTCTTTTTCTTTTCTAAGTGGGTTAATAATTTGCTACTTTAAATATTTTAAAATATTTCAAAATGTTTCAAAGTCTTCTGAATAATTTTAGAACGTAATATATGTTCGTTTCTTATTTAAAAGGAATGCAAAAGATATACTTGCTCTTGTGAAAACAGCCAAGATTGCCTGTGTACGGTTCTGGGCAACTATGTGAAAGCGTGCGCAGAGAAGGAGACCTACCTGGAAGGCTGGAGAGCCGGGCGCTGTGGTGAGTGGTGCGGCCATCTCTGCTTCCTTCCCAGACTCCTGTGCGCACCTGTGCTGTGTCGGGACTAGACAGTTACAAACTCTTACTGATTCTTCCCTGCATGGCTTTCTGCTTTTTAGAGATTATTGGACAAGTCTTGATTTTTACATTTTGATTCATTTCTTTATTTAACATAGTTGTATTTAAATGAGAACAAAATGAGGTATATTCACATAAACACATATTTATGTTCAGCTATTGAACGTTGAAATTTAAATAAGTATTTTGAAAAAAAACTTTAAATTGGAGGCTCAAATATTATATTGTTAAAAGTACGTCTCACACTCTTAGAAGATGACTTCATAAAAACACTTGATTTACCTAAAGAAAAGAATAACCAAAATAATCTCCAACAAGCCAGATGTGGGAGTACATGTCTGTATCCTGGCACTTGGGAGGCTGAGGCAGGAGGATTGCTGTGTTTAACGCCAGCCTGGGCTACATAGTAGAGTGCATGTTAACCTTGGCTGCACAGCAAGACCCTGTCTCAAAAAGTTAAAACACAACAAACCCACCAAACTTTGTGGAAGTACGTCTCTTATAGACATGCTTAACACCTCATAGTCCTGTATCCAGGTAACCCATGAGGTCTGCAAGTTCCCCTATGTGATCTCTTCACATCTCTTCATCTCCATAACCATCAACTTCCTTCAAGAAAACAGCACGCTTTTTCTCTCCTGCGTGATTGTGATGGCCTCTTTCAATATCCCCTTTGCTCCTAATCCACATTCTATAGTGAAAACAGGTAATCTAAAGTAAACCCAAGTAAAACTTTGTCTAAAACATGTGAGTGGTTTCTCCTAGCTTAGAGGGATGCTGTAAACCCAGCCACAGATGCTCTCTGGACTTAGAGCTGTTGTCACTTGGTGTGCTCTCTGAAAGAATTAGCCGCTCTCCCAGTTGAGGGAAACGTAGAATCTCCTCTCATTCTGTTTCCTCAAGACACATCCTAGCTATGCACACCGACAATATGCATCTTGATTTATAGCATGTGCCACAGTCACCCTTCAAAAAGGAACATAAGCTCCAAAAAAGGAATGTGCTGCCTGTGCTACCAGCAAGCTTTGTTTCCAGAAGAATCCGTAAATACACAGGAAGAATTCAATACTAAGAATGAAAACTAAACCAATGAATGAACACCTTTTATCTACCTTTATAGCTTTAATAATGAATAATCCACATAATACCTATAAACAACAATTTGAAGTAAATTTGCTTCTTTTCCTGCATGTATACATAGTCACGGTTGTTTTTTCTCTGTAATTACAGGACTGTCTTGTCCGAGTGGTTTTGTATTCAGCTACAACATCAAAGCCTGCAATAGTTCTTGCCGATCACTATCAGAGAGAGATAGAAGTTGTGATGTAGAAGATGTTCCAGTCGATGGATGCACTTGCCCTGATGGGATGTATCAGAACAGTGAAGGGAACTGCGTTCACAAATCCGAATGTGACTGCTATGTAAATTATGAGGTCATGCAACCAGGCAAACTCATCCAGATCGAGAACAATAAATGGTATGCCAATGACATGCATACATAGAACACAGACACTCATGACACTGACATCAGGTGACACAGACGTGTTATGACACCAACTTCTTCAGAGAAATACTTGCCTACCACTACGAAGTGCCTGTCAGATCTGCCACATTTCTCATTTGCCATCTCTTATTAAGACTAGTTGATACTTGTTTTATTCTGAGGCATGGTCCATTGCATCATAGTGACCATACATGGTTTGCCCTCCTCTGGTTTGAATGCTGAGAGAAGTGTTCTGGAAATTTTTATACAGACAATGCTAATGAGCTCATGCTTAGACAATGCTTTCCAGCACTTTCCAGCTATCTCTTGGAAGGCATCATTCCATAAACACTCATCAAGTACCTATAGGCCAGGTCTTATGCTGATTACTAGAATTACAAAATCCAGTAGCCATTTCTTGTACGTGCAAAACGCACAGGGTGTTTGTTATCATGATGTGTTACTGTAGCTGCCAGCTGAGGAGCTGAGGACACTTCTCAGAGGAGGCTGGCATCTGAACTCTCCTAAAGACTGAATTGGTTTTTCCAGAGAGAACTGCTGTGTGGAGAAGGACTTCTGTAAACAGAATGCAATCATGCAGGGAATGCTTTACAAAAACTGCATATGGGGGCTGCTCTGTAAGACTGGACTAGAAACTTAGATAGCAGCCAGAGTAGAGCTTAGAGTCAGTTTTGTTCCTGAGGAGTTGAGAATTTGGACCCTTTTGACTTCTGTGGTGATGTGGTTTCACTATTTTTTAAATTTTTATTATTATTATTTTTTTGGTCTTTTTGAGACAGGGTAGGGTCTCCCAATAGCCCCACGGCCAGGAACTTGGTAGATGGTTTCACTATTATTTTTATTTTTATTTTTATTATTTTTTTTTGTCTTTTTGAGACAGGGTCTTTCTGTAGCCACAGCTGTCCTGGAACTCACCATGTAGACCGGGCTGGCCTTAAACTCACAGAGATCTGCCTGCCTCTGCCTCCCAAGTGCTGGGACTACAGGCATGCACCACCACACCTGGCATACGTTTTTAATTCTACAGACAGAATTCTTTTCAATATAACTGCAAAAATAGCATTTCCAAATATCTTGCCTATACAGCCCTAGCTTCCCAGGTCTGTCATTTAGACTCTCCCGGAGCAGTGACTGACTTCTCCTGGCCACCCAAAGGGGAAGCAGGACCCCCATCAAAACCCCATCCAGGTCAAAGACATTTGGTTGGGGTTGGATGGTATTGCATTCCTATCCTCTGTAGTGTTGAGGAATCCTGAGACCCCTGGGATGTGGGCTAGCCCTCAGAAGCTACGGCATCTTTCAGTCCTCACAGTCCAGATCTTCATCAGCTCTGGCCTGCACTACTGAGCTAGGTGGCTTTTCTGTCTTTCACCTTGCCTCCTTCTGTGTCTGTCCATGTTCTCCATGGCTAGCATGTCTAAGGTAAAGCACAATTCCGATTGGGCCACCTTCCTGCTCAGGAATGACTGAGATTTGCTTCAGGCATGGTGGCACACGCCTTTAGTCCCAGCCCTCTGGAGGCAGAGGTAGGTGGATCTCTGAGCTCAAGGCCAGCCTGGTCTACATAGTGAGCTCCAGACCAGCTGGGGCTACAGAGAGACAGAGACACCCTGTCTCAAAAAGATAATAAAAAATAAGAGGGAGAGTTGACCCTCTTTAAGGGAGAGACTCTAGACAGGCTGACTAGACCCTAGTGGATGAACCTGCACTGAGGGACATCTGGGTACACTAATCTGACTCCATAGGCCTTAACATACATGACAGAATGCATGAAATTCATTGGGCGGGGGCTACAGGAGGGTGAGAATGGGGGAGGGGTAAAAAGATAAGAGGTTTTGTATGAAATGTACAAAAATTCAATAAAGATATACATTTGAAAAATAGAAAGACAATTGCAAACCATCATCTAAGTCACCCCAAATCTGGCCCCAGCCTAGAGATCACTCTCCCTCACTGAGCATCCTGCTTGCATCCACATGCGGCTCACTGCAGCCCCTGAAACAGCCTGTTCTTTCTGACATCAGTTTTGTAGTCTCATCCGTAGAGGTCCTGGGGATAAACTTTGTGTGGAGTTTTCTCTGACATCCATAGAACTCATACATTCCAGCAGTTCTTATAAGGCTTTCTCTTATAATTCAATGCATCTTCTGGGGACTAAGTCCTATTTGTCTAATTGTCCTTAAAATTTAATGCGTAAAGAGATAAAATGTATT